CTCCTGTAATGGCCTGAGAGCCTTTCCAGCTCCTACACGCTCAACGTGGCCATGGTGCCACGTAGCGTCTAGCCATGCTGCCCACTGCCTGACCATGTGGTACAGATGGGGCTACCATCCCATTTACCAATGCTAGGCACCGTGTTGTTCTTCCATTGCTGTGTGTGTGTGTGTGTGTGTGTGTGTGTGTGTGTGTGTGTGTTTAATGCAGGTCATAGGTCTTCTGAGAGCTATTCCCTAATGTGAATTCTTCACATGTTTTGTATCAAGGATAAACAACAACATTCTGTATTTGTTGATCCTCTGTTTACAGAGTTTCAGAGTTTAGAGGAATATTGTTTAGAAGCCATGAAATTAACTCCTGGAAGCCATATCTATCTACCTATCGATCGATCAATCAACCTATATATTTAAAAAACTAACACAGAAGTATGAAATTTCAGTTTGGTAAAATTCACTTCTAATTTTTTCATTTGAAAGATAAAAGGAGATAAGGGCCAGGAGGTGGACTAGTGACATATTTAGATTAAAAACACAGATATAATTTTTTCTTTTATGCATCTTTTACTATTTATTTAGAAAAGATTTGTTGTATATATTATGGCAGTCTAAAGGATTTTCATGCTAAACAAATAATCATTTCTAAACTCTTTTTTATATGTCAAAACCAAGCATTTTCATCTTTTTCATTTTTATCCTATAAAATAATTCATTCTCTCCATCTTTGGCATAAGTTTTTTTTTTTTTTTTCCAACGTTTATTTTATTTTTGGGATAGAGAGAGACAGAGCATGAACGGGGGAGGGGCAGAGAGAGAGGGAGACACAGAATCGGAAACAGGCTCCAGGCTGTGAGCCATCAGCCCAGAGCCTGACGCGGGGCTCGAACTCACGGACCGCGAGATCGTGACCTGGCTGAAGTCGGACGCTTAACCGACTGCGCCACCCAGGCGCCCCTGGCATAAGTTTTATACTGCACTTGAGAAACTAGTAACTCCAGGAGAGAAATTACTATTTCATTTTACAATTTCCTGTCTCCTCTGAAAGGCTCAATACCGGCTTCAGAATCTGATATCAATACCATGCATTTTTAAGTGATTTCCTAATTCCACTGATGAAATATCATAAAGGATTTTATAGAAAAGGTACAATTTCATTTAAAGTGAGATCCATAATATTCTGAAATATATTTGGACAGCACATGATTTGGAATTGTTGAAAGATGTAGGACATAATCTTCATTACTGTGAAAGTAAAAGTTAGGTTGATGCTTTAACTTAATCACTAATAAACATTTAGATTCACAATACTGCTGTCAATACTATTTTTCATCATATTAGACTAGAATTATTTAAACCTTGCTTTATTACTTCCACATTTGCTTCTCTGTGATCCTCACTGGGATATTTGATTTAGGTGTTTCTACTTTCCCCAAACAATGGAAACTTTAAGAAACGGTCTATATCCCTGCTATCACCATTTAGAGCCATTGCCGTACATTTTCTGACTCTCAGTAATTTCATTCATTATGGATGGTTGAAATATGAAAAATATTTAAATATGAAATATGATTCATATTTTAATAATTCTTATTTCCTCAGCCCAAACTTGTTCAATTGATATTGACTTCAGATGGCATAGTGTAGAGAAGACTCATAAGTGGGTGATTTGGGGAGGAGCTATGGCCATCCTGAACTGGATAATATTCCCCACTGTGATACTTTCCTATTTAAAGGCAAAAGCTTTCCGTCTGCAACCAATCACAGTAGTGATACTGTCTCATTAATTCATTCCAGTGCATAAGCAATAGACTACAGCGGGGTTCCTGAGGGTCAATAACCCTCAATAACACTCGATGACTGGGTGAAGGCTGAGGCTGGGGAAGCCTCCAGAAGTTAGGTAGGGCTCATCACACAAGTGGCAAAAGTGAGGACACATTGTATGTGTTCTTCCCAGTTTTGCTTGGAGTTGGTGATGCCTGGGGGTGATGCATAAATTTATAGGACTCATTCTTGAGAATGTTCATGATGCTGCTTTAAATGCACAGGAAATAGAGATATAGGACCACATAGGCTGCTCACCCACCCACCCCCACCCCCACCCCCAGTAATTGTATTAGAGCACAGAGATAGCAAAGGGATAGAAAAATCGCATAACATTAGGGAGGAAAGTGTAGAGATTAAACACTGAGTGAGGAAAACAATACGAGAACAAAAGTGAATTTGGAGCATAAAGGTGAAAGAGTTTCAGAGATTTCGTCTTCTAGGTCTAGAGCAGCCGTGTTGTTTGTTTTTTTTTTTTTTTTCAAACTGTGTCACTGCATTCATAGTTCATCTGACTTCTTTTGATCTTCATTGGACCAGATCTTAACTCTAAAAACCTCTTATTCATAACTTCTGACCGTCTTCATGAATTTTTTATTCCGCCACCAATTTTGTTTGAAATGTTGACATGTGAACAAACCTGAGATAGAAAACAGTGGCTGCTCTGAAGGCTGTATTCCAGCTACAGAACTTGAGAAGGGTCTGTCCTCGGTCACTGCTTTCCCTCCACACAGGCTCCTGCTTCGTTCCACGCCTGGGGACCAGGCCTGCCCACCAGGTGTGTGAGGGCATTCTCCTGGGTAGTTAGGGATTGCCTGGCATCCTTGCCTACTGGGTGTTTTTTTCTAACATTCCCAGCTACTTCAGACTTTTAAGAGTAAAGCTTTTTTCCCCTTTCACCATAACCCTGTTGTTCACTGTTATTGTTAAAGTGTCAGCTCGTCTCTCACAAATGGCAGCGTGTTCTGTTCTTTGTTCAATATCCTCATGACAGATCTGACTGTCCTCAAAATGAGACCTCTTGTCTCCAAGAATTTGGCTTCTATAAAAAGCAGGATTTGTTGTACTTCAAATGTTGAAATCTGTTTTAACATTGTTATTTATCTATGTTTTTGCAATGTGGCTCTGTTTAGAAATTTGGCTTTAAATTACATGAGGGTTGTTGGGGCGCCTGGGTGGCGCAGTCAGTTAAGCGTCCGACTTCAGCCAGGTCACGGTCTCACGGTCCGTGAGTTCGAGCCCCGCGTCAGGCTCTGGGCTGATGGCTCAGAGCCTGGAGCCTGTTTCTGATTCTGTGTCTCCCTCTGTCTCTGCCCCTCCCCCATTCATGCTCTGTGTCTCTCTGTCCCAAAAAATAAATAAACGTTGAAAAAAAAATTTTTTTAAAAATTACATGAGGGTTGAGAAGAAGGGTAAGGACTTCTAGGATAATAACAAAGAGCCACAAAGTCCAACAACCTCTGGAATATAACTGCCAATAAGTTAAACTAATACAATAGAAACTCTGATATTTGAAGGTTTAAGTGATCCCATTGACATGTGATACATATTTATTAGCAATCTTAATTTTCGTTTCCTTTAAAATGATGATCTCAAAGGCAGAGTACTAAGGACAACAGCAATTTGTTGTTTAGAGTCTGTTACATAGTGAGTGATCAATAAATGTATGTTGAATTGGATGTAGCATTGAATGCAAAATTTGGATTCAGTGATCCCTAAGATCTCATTCCACTTTGACCTATGATTTTATGATTCGTTCCATGACGAACCAGGTTAATAGGTGGTGAAAAGCTTCCAGATATGTGGATTGTCCAATTCTTCCAACTCAAATGATAGATATCTGCCCACACACCTCACAGACTATTGAGAAAACACACTAGTCTTCACTGAAGGGCAGTTTCCTTATTGTATGGTTTATATTAATATCAGATGCCAAAAACGAAAGAGCATGGAATTTCATTCATTAGTATTATCTTTGATTTACTTAAAAAAAAGTACAATTCCACTTCCTTTAAAATCTTTCATGCATTTTTTGCAGCAATTATAGAAATCCACAGTGTTCTGCATCTGTAATAATGAATATCTGAATGCTGATTAGGAGTTAAGGAAAGCTCAACTCTGTTGCTTTCCTTTCTATTCCTACTTGTTTACATATGTGGACTCAAATGAATAAAAATAACAATAGCTCATTTTTATGTAGCATTTTAGGATATACTATGTACTTCCTGATAAATGTGGATAATGTATTATTATCTTCTTTAAAAATGAAGAAACTAGGGTCGCCTCGGCAGCTCCATTGGTTAAGAGTCCAGTTTCGGCTCAGGTTATGATCTCACACACGATTCATGAGTTTGAGCCCTGCAGTGCAGAGCCTGCCTAGAATTCTCTCTTTGCCTTTCCTCTGCTCATGCGCAGTCTCTCAACATAAATAAATAAACTTCAAAAAAATATGAAGAAGCTAAATGTCAGAGAAGTTGACATTTGACCAGCCCTACTCTATAGATAGCAGGACCAGGATTTAGATCCACTTATTTGATTGATAACGTAGGCCATTTTTTGTTTGTTTGTTTTTTTGCTTTACCACGCCACTGCTCATCACAATTCTTTACAGGCTCTGTGACCGTGTGTAAAGAACTTTAATATCTTTCCTGACCTCTTTTGTGTATACTACATTGATCTTCAGGGAATGTGAACTCCACAGACGTTACTTGTTTTAGACTAAGCGTCTCTAGGCTAAGCATGTCGTGTATAGAAAAATGGTAATGAAAATAAAGTGTGGGGGCCTCTACAAGATAAGACCTATTTCAAAAGCAAATTGTTTTCAATTTCCAATGGCTCTCCTCCACATGAATTAATTACCAAATCCATCACATACTCCATTTAGGCCCCAGCAGACCAATGCAATCGCAAGCACCTGGATTTTGATGGATTCAAGTTTATGGCCCTACAAACCCATCTATCTTATAGGGAATTGTTGCTTTTCTTTACTCCTCATGATCAATCAATGTAAACCAGGTATTAAAGAACTTGAGAAAAATGTGCCTTTGCTTTAATGTTTAATATGGTGTTAACGAAGATCCTGGCTATTTGTGATATTTACTGTTGAAAAGAAACCATTCATTTCTGACTTCTGACTTCATTGTCTATTTTTTCTTATTTTTTATACTCTCATTGTGAAGGTCACGGACAGTGTAATTGTGGAAGATGTGACTGCAAAGTAGGCTGGTATGGGAAAAAGTGTGAGCACCCACGTTCCTGCCCACTGTCAGCAGAGGAGAGCATCAGAAGGTGCCAAGGAAGCTCGGATCTACCTTGCTCTGGAAGGGGTAAGTGAGGGCTCTCAGGCCTGTTACCACCTCCTATGAGTCAAATGCACTCAATTCATATATATCTTATTTAAGAGATAGCTGAGATCCCTGAATATGGAAAGGTTAGTCTTTTCAGAACTAATAATACATCCAGTTTTCATGACTGAAAGTACATGGAGAAATATAATCTCTCTCTTTTTCCCTCTCTGTTGTATGCGTGCAGGTGTACACACATGCCCACACCTACGTGCTCTTACATGATCAGTTTAGCTTTGAGGTCTGTTCAATTTCAGTTCAGTTTAGTTCAATGCTACATTAAAAACAACAACAACAACGACAATAACAAAAAACCAGTTTTTCCCAGGAAACAAAACAAGCAAAACAGAAAAGTAACCTACTGAAAGGAAGAGGAAGAAGATATTTGCAAATGATCTATCCATGAGTATCCTTAGTATCCAAAGTATATAAAGAACTTGCACTCTCAACACCAAAAAAAAAAAAAAAAAAAAAAAAAAAAAAAAAAAACCAAACAAATAATTTGACTTGAAAATGGCCAGAGTATCTGAACAGACATTTTTCCAAAAAGACATACAGATGGCCAACAGACACATGAAAAGATGTTCAACATCCCTCGTCATCAGGGAAATACAAATCAAAACCACAATGAGATATCATCTCACACCTAGCTGAATGGCTACAATAAAAAAGACAAGAAATAACAAGTGTAGGTGAGAATGTGGGAAAAAAAGGGAACCTTTGTGCACTGTTGATGGGAATGCAGATTGGTACAGCCACTGTGGAAAATAGAAATTTAATTAAAAATGTAAAAAATTAAAAATGAAATTATCATATGATACAGTATTTCCATTACTGTATATTTACCCAAAGGAAATGAAAACTCTAATTCAAAAAGATATATGCACCACTGTGTTTATTGTGGCATTATTTACAATAGCCAACAACCTATCAATGGATGAATGGATAAAGAAATGGTATATATGTATGTATGTATGTATGTATGTATATAATGGAATTTTACTCAGCCATAAAAAAGAATGAGATCTTGCCATTTGCAACAACAGGGATGGACCTATAGAGTATTATACTAAATGAAATAAGGCAGACAGATAAAGACAAATAGCATATGATTTCACTCATGTGGAATTTAAGAAACAAAACAAATGAGCAAATTAAAAAAGAGAGAGAGAGAGAGAGAGAGAGAAATACTAACTCTTACAGAGAATAAACTGATGATTGCCAGAGGGGTGGGGTCAGGGATGAGCAAAATAGATAAACGAGATTAAGAGTACACTTCCTAAAAAAAAAAGTTTGGATATTTGCTCAAAACTTTCTGAATGAGACATTTAATTGTCCACTGACATTTCTGAAACTCATTAACATTACACTGAGGAAGTTGTTGACTTTTGAGAAAGCATTGTGTAAATAGATGGCTGAATAAGCTGATGCTGTTTTAGAAGGCACGTAGCCTCAGGTGTGGTCTTGGTTCCAGATCGGGGCACACTGGAAGAGGAGAAAAGCAGCTAGAGGAAAGCTGGTTCCATTATTTTCATTTATCAAAATAAGAAATAACAATTTCACCTCTCACATGAACATGGCAAAGTTAATATGCAATATGCCTTTGGAGGAACTAGTCATTGAGATTATTACAGATTTTATTCATGAAAGAGGAAAATGAGAAATACTTTCTTTTACCTGAACGCTAGACCAGAAATTTCATTTTGTTTTGCAGTTTTGTTTTTGGAGAAATGAATTTTTTTATTGAGATATAATTCAAATACCATAAAATCCACTCTTTTAAAGCATACAACTTAGTGGGTTTTAGTATATTTGTTTATTTATTTTAAGTTTGTTTATTTTGAGAGAGAGAGAGAGAGAGCCAGTAATCCTGAGCAGAAACCAAGGGTTGGCCGCTTAACCAACTGAGCCCCCCAGGTACCCCTGTTTTCAGTATATTTATAAAATTATGCAATCCTCACCACTACCTCGTTCCAGAGCATTTTCATCACCACTAAAAGAAATCCCGTCCTGTGCCTCCTCACCAGTCACTCCCCATTCTCCTTTTGTTCAATCCCTAGAAACCAGGGATCTACTTCCTGTCCCGAGGGATTTGCCTAATCTGGGTATTTCAAAATATGTGATCTGTTTGTCTTTGGTTTTCTTTGACTTAGCATAATGTTGTCAGGGTTTATCCATGTACGTCATTTCTTTTGCTGGCTGGATAATATTCATTTGCGTGGATTTCCACGTTTATTTATCCATCCATCTCTTAGTGGACATTTGGGTCATTTCTACTTTTTGACCATCACGAATACTGTTCTATGAACATTCACAAATAAATTTTTGTGCGGGTATGTGTTTAAATTTCTCTTGGACATACAGGTCAAAGTGGAATTGCTGAGTCATATGGTAGCTCTGTTTAACTTTTTGAGGTACAGCTAAACTGTCTTTCAAGTGGTGACACCATTTTACATTTCCACCAGCAGTGCCTGAGGGTTGCAGTTTCCTTACATCCTTCCCATTCTTTATAATCGTTTGTCTTTTTGACTACTTAGAGTTTTCTTTATGTAGAAGACAAAGTCCTTAAGATTATTTGCTCTGTAGGTATTTTCCCATACTCTGATATGTATCCCTAACGGTTATAAGTAGAAGGTTAGGGCATGGGTAGAAGGAAATTTTCATTTCAGAGATTTTATTTCTGACTTGCCCCATTTTCACCAGTAACCCCAGAGGGGAACTACTGTTCTGTCTGCATTAATAAAATATTATCAGGGTGCCTGAGTGACTCAGTTGATTGAGCATCCAGACTCTTGATGTCAGCTTGGGTCATGATCTAACGGTTCATGGGTTCAAGCCCTACATTGGGCTCTGTGCTGACAGTGCAGAGCCTGCTTGGGATTCTCTCTCTTTCCCTCTCTCTCTGCCCTCCCCCACACTCTCTCTCTTTCTCACAAAACAACAACAACAACAACAACAACAACACACTTTAAAATATTGTCATTAGAAAGCTTGAGGAAGCCTGTCATGCTTTTAAAGGAACAACGATTAAAAATTAATGTCCCTCACACTACTGTCATCCATTCATTCATTGTTAAAAGTAACAAATTATATGATAGAAAAATAAGAAAAGCATATAAGGTATATCTCAAACATAGAACATCACTTGTTTTTCATTTGTCTCTAAATTTTTTAATGCAGTGTTAGTGCAAGAAAAGTCCTGTGGATTTTAATTATTGTGGATGTCAGTCTTCGATAACTCTGACAAACATGTATTTGTCTCTTACCTTCCTAGACAGTCACTAATGTATCAGTTACATATTTATAGCACATATTTAAAGTTTATTTTATTAAAAAGGAGTTGAATAAATGTATAGAATTATGATACTTTTTATTTCATTTAAGCTTTTTAGAGTACTTTAGAGATCAATAATAAGCTTCCCTAGTGTCCTTGCAGGGAAAAGAAGGTATTGATGAGTGGAGTGATTTCCCAGGGAACCATCACAAAATATGAGGATTCTGAGAATGAAGACCAAGGATTTAGGAGAGCCAGTCCAATGCTCAGACCAGTGATCAGAGACCCTTCTTTTCTCACAGCTGCATCTGCAAACTCATTGGCATTGGATGCTGTAAAGCAAATGGCCAATCTGAAAACTTTTAAAGGATTAGTTTTGCCATTTATGAATGACAACTGCAGCTGTGGTTACATGAGTGAAGAAAGCAATTACAGGGCCCAGCAGTTCTCAAGACGGAGAGCCTCAGCAGCTTGCTTGCTGGGGCCAAGGAAAAAAAAATTCTCCCAGCAGAATGTATTGATGCTCCTCAGTGTAGTCCACCTGAGGGGCTAGGTGAAGGCATTTGTGCACCAGAAATTAAATTAGATCACTTGCTTCTGCTGGGGATGACTAAGTGTGATCATTACATCTTGAAAATAGGGGAATAATTTAGATAATCTCTTAAACTCTCTATTAATCCTGTTACTCCTTGATTGCTTTTTTTAAAGTGTATTTATTTTTGAGAGAGACAGAGTGCAAGCGGGGGAGGGGCAGAGAGGGAGGGAAAGAGACAATCCCAGGCAGACTCCGCAGAGCCAGATGTGAGATCATGACCTGAGCTGAAATGAAGAGTCAGACACTCAACTGACTGAGCCACCCAGGCACCCTTATTACTCCTTGATTTCGATTCCTTATTGCCTATATATATCTTTGTTTAGAGGACTCTCATCTAGTCGATTTGGATACACAGTTACTCATCCTAATTTCTGCTCCCAGGGACTGGAGCTAGGAGATAACTTTCTCTAGTCTTCTACCAGTGTTCTGCTCAAAAACTTGAAATGGCTTCTGATAGGCTACACATTACTTTTAAATTCTCCTTGACCTAAGAATAAATTTTTATTTTTATTGAGGTTCTCCTTCTGAGTAGGTGTCTGGCTTTGGCCAAAACGTGTGAGCAAAATTGATGTGTGTCACTCCAGAGCAGAAGTTTGAGAGGCAGTGAGAGATTTGCCATCCCTCCTGTCCCCGTGTGGGGACTTGCAGTGTTTGAGATGGTCGCTGATCCAGGAGGTGGGGTCTCTGAATGAGGATTGAAGAGACCTCTGCTGACCCCTGAAGAACTGTACCACAAATGCTGTCTTAAGCAGCTGAGATATTACAGTTTTTTGTTACTGCAACAGAACTCCTGACTCATACTCTTGCACATCCAAAATTTAGCGAATGAAGTTAAAACAAACAAGCAAACACAAAAAATCATGCTTAAACTCCAAGAGATCAGGAGAAAAAACAGTTGAGGTTTATAACCATAGGCATATCTTATCACTATCAATATTCATGTGTATATTTTACAAATGATGTATTTATGCTATTCTGTGAACAGCATTTATGTGTACTTCTTCAACAGGGAAAATGGTAAGAACATTGAATATATTGTCATTTGTTAATATCCCCCAAACACAATGAAGTAGGATGTATAATTATTCTTCTTTTTACAGAAAAAGAAACTGG